TTTGCAAACGCTCAGATGTGCCAGGATTTCGGGAGATCTCACGAATCGCCCGCCGTGCTCCGCTGGGAGCAGCGGTCTGGAGCGGGATGGATGAGAGCAAACCCCTGAAGGTCCGGCTGACGTTCTCCGTGATCCTGGTGGGCATCTCACTCCTGTTTGCAGCCGTAGTGACTGACCACTGGGCCGTGCTGAGCCCCAAAGTGGAGGAATATAACGCCACCTGCGAAGCGGCTCATTTCGGGCTATGGCGACTCTGTACAAAGCGGATTTTTATGCAGGAGCAAGGTCCCAAAGAGAAGGGCTGTGGGCCAATAAGCCTGCCAGGAGGTACGTGACCACCCACCAATGCACGGGAGAAAGCACCAGGCGGTCGTGCCAGGCTTTGCTTAGGAGGTTGCAGGACGTGGCAGAAGGAAAATAGGGTCCGTGTTCCCGTGGCATTTAATTTGGCATCAGGCTGCATGGGGCTGTTTTCATGTTGATCCGCAAGCACACCTTGTTTTCATCCCTCTTGCTGTACATATGCGCTGTGTTGCCTTGCACGACTATTTGTGACCATATTTGAGTCTCCTGTGCTACAATGACAGTGGCGGGGAGAGGGGGAGGAGGATCGGACACGGTGGAAACCACAGAGGGAAACTGGGATGGAGGAAATTTTGCTGAACGCCAGCCAAGGGTCCCCCAGCACCCAGGCACGCTGACGGCAGCGGGCAAGGAAGAGGATTTATGGGTCCACCATACCTTGCTGGGTCTTGAGGATTTCCAGATCCATATAGCTACGGAGGAACAGCCTATTCATGGCGGGCATCAGGTTATCTCCAAGCTATTTCAATAACAACCGCTCCTCAGGGCAGGGAAGAAGAGGGACCTGCAGTATGTTTTGCCAGCTTCCAAAAAAAAAGTCATAATCTGAGTTTGAAGCAATTTCTCAAGGATTTACTGAGCCTCCTCACCTCTTGGCAGGGGCAGCCTGGTCCCACACACATCTCCATCATGGGTTCCTCCAGCGCAATCAATAGGGAGGGCAGTGGGGGAGCGGGCACGGCTGCTTTCCGGGAAGACCGTTACAATCCCATGGCAAAAGGAGATCATTATGTTTTTGCTGATTGCAAAGTCAGCGACATTCATGCCGTATGCACTAATACGCTCCCTCCACGACTGAGCTCTGCTGCTTTTTTAGAAGGCTCATAGAGTACTGGATGCTTTCCAGAACAGAAATAACAGGATTGCTTTCATGTTAGACTCGCTGCTTGAAATGAAATATATTTGTTAACACATACTTGAAAATTTCCTGTGAAAAATCTTACTGCCTGGGCTTACTGTATATTCCCTGTACTAGTGCAATTCTTTATCTCTTTGGCCAAATTGCATGTTCTGAAGAGAGGAGCTCTGCCTCTAACCAAATTTGGGAGTGTGTCACCCGTATGCTTAACGTCTCTCGCGAAGGTACTTATGTGCCTAGAATCATGTTCCTTGCTGTACGCCTTTCCTCAAACACAGAGGAAAACTCCCACAAAAGGAGAAACACTAGAAATTGGTGGATAAACACCAAAATTGCACAACTGCGGGGTAAATATAAAACTCATAAATATCCAGCTGTCTGCAAAAAGCAGATTCGCAGGCAGGGCAGCACGAAAGCAGCTACTGTCTTTGACAGACACCAGCATGTGCTTGCACAGGCATTGAGTCACGTCCCAGCGCTGCCGTTCTGCCGGGCACAGCGAATAACCGGGTGACGATGGAGGGGCTGAGCCGCCCTCTCCACCCCGGAGGTGGTTTTCCAGCTTTTAAAGATACTTGGGAATTTAGATGATGTCCTGTGTCGTAATCAGCATCCGAGGTTTCAATTTTAATTCCAGTTTTACTCACGCAGGGACCACAGAGAGGGGTGGAGGGGGAAAGCATAGCCCCCACGGATCCGGGCTGCTAAACGATGCTGCGTCCGCACAGCTCGCGTTAAATTAATTTCACACTTCTGGGAAGAGATGTTGGCAGGGAAACACCAGGGTTGTGAAACCTGCAGCAGTCGAGAAAATGTGAATGAACAAATGTGCAGTAAAAGAGCAGATGTGGGCACTGGTTTTCCTGAAAATGATGAGACATAACCAGACATTACTGCCAGGACTGGAAAAGAAACATAAGAATTTATCACTGCATTAATAACCATTTACCAGTCACTCCCTGAGGAGGAAATGGATGGCACGATTAACATTATTTATTAGGTTTTGAGCTCAGCACAGTGCAAAATGGGGAGGATGACTTGGCTCGCAGTCCACAAAGCAGGGCTGTGATTTAGGCAGAGCTTTAAAATTTTACAGTTAGGATGTTGACAAATTGGAAAGGGTTCTGCATCCTGCTGTAAGAAATAAAAAGATCAGGGAGATGGCTGTTAAAACTGAGCAAATTCAGATTAATACTGAGACATTTTTAACTGTGGCCAGTGGGCAGCAGGGCACTTTGCTACTGGCTGTAAACTGAGTTGACCTTCACTGCGAGTAACTCCAGCGTAGGTGTTGTCCTACCAAGTGGGCTGGCGTGTGGCTGCAGGCTGGGCAGCAGCAGCGGGGATGCTCCACAGCCTGCGTTGCTGCCAGCAGGTTCCGTAGGTCCTTGTAAAGATGGGAACCTGAGCTCAGGCGCCCGGAGAGGAAAAGTGCTCCAGCAAATGGGTTATCAGCAGGGCTGTCTCGTTCCTCCGCAGAGAAAGAGACTCACTCTGCAAGACTGGTATGAAACTAAAGTATTTGGAGACACCATCTCCAAAACTCAGTGTCTGTCAAAGGCCTTCCCCTGGCTTGTTGGCCAGGTCAGAGCCCAAGGTCTGGCCCCCTCCACCACTCAGCCCTCACCTCAACACCTCCTCTAATCACCTAATCACCTCCTCTAATTCTCCTGTCTCCCAAACTTAAGACAAGTGGAAACCTCATGTTAAAATCCAGATTTTTCTGACTATCCAGCCTGCCACAAAACCCCACGTACTAGTGTCCATTCCAGGTTCAAGAGCAAGGTGGGTTCCAGCCCCTTCCCAGCCTGTCGCTCCAATGCTCACGGGTGACAGCTGCCACCTGAAACTCTGCATGGCCCAAACATCTCGTGGCCTTTCTGCCCTTTCTTCCCCGACGAGGTCTCCACATCGCAGACCCCCACGGTTCAACCACAGTTCCATGGGATTGCACTTCTGCTATGTCCCATGGCTGCATCCAGCCCCATGGCAGCGAGCGGCACAAGAGGTTGGCTCTGCGCAAATAGAGGAAAGATGAATTGGCCCATCTGGCCCCGCACAGCGGTCATCCAGGAATGGTGGATCTGAAGGGAAGGGACCAGGAGGGCTGTAAGGGTGGGAGGGTGGAAGGGGGAGGACACTGTGTGAAAAACCACGTGTTACAACCCTGAAGTTCGTGCGAGCCTTAATGACCACCGAGCACCCAGACTGTTCCCATCAGCACGCTGAGGTGACCTTGTGGCAGAGATAATGCAATTAGGGGTGGAGAGAAACAGAGATTGCTATACAGTTTTCATCCATTATAAAATCCATTTAAAATCCTATCCATTATGAAAATGTGGTGTCACACAAATGGGCTTTTCTCTAATTCATGATGTCACCAGAGAGGCATTGAAGTGCCTCAGTTCTCTTGAATAACAGGGAGCCTTGTTGAAACTGATATTCCCAGGTCAGCAGAGCACCGAAGCATCTTTAAACTGAAAACAATATATCATTTCACCAAAACCAATCTAGTTACATTTTCCCACAGTAAATGCATTTTCCAAAAACACCTCCCCTCGACCTAACCCATTTCTGTGACAACCCCATTGACTGTACCTTGGCAGAGCTTTGCTATAAGCCGTAACACACAGAGGCAGCTCCGCTTCCTTTTCCTGCAGACAAGTCCAGGTCTAAAAGAAGGTTTTGTGTGCTCCCCCTCTGATGAGCCTTCAGGGACTGGAGGGTGGACTGGGTTGGTTCGGTTCACCTGCAATGGACACAAAGCTGTGCCCTGTCCCCCATCACACCATCTCTGGATGGCTTCACCTTGGGCTTTGTACAGTCAACACGCCTGAGGACTCCTTCGAGTTCAGGCTTTCCAGAGAATTAATTAAAAGCCAAACCAAACAATCAAAAATAAAGCATCCCCGTTTCATCCTATCTCCCTCCCCTTTAGCACAGGAGCCAAAGGATCCCCAAACTGGGATCACTGGATACGATGCTCAGCCTCAGCCACCGCTCAGTCGCTGGCAGAGGCACACAACCTCCGCTTTGGGGCTCAAAGTTTGCATTTTCAGTCATAGAGGTCTGAGTTCAAATATGTTTCCTCCAGTCATTTGCAAGGATAATAAAGAACAGGTCAGGAGATGCCAGAGCTGAACATTAACCTAGTCTCCAGCAAGGAGAAGCTACAGGTGAAATAAAAGTCAGCTTATAAAATTAAGTAGATAAGAGTGTCTTGAAGGAATCTTCCACTAACGGGCCCAAAAACGTTGCTTTATAATTGCCTGTCTCCTGGGAGAGAGAAAACAAATCCTCCTTAAATCAGTAACTCCAAGATCTGCTGTTTACGTGACAGGAAAAAACCGCAAGAACCAACAGGTAACAAACATACGGTACGCCGGTATCTTCCTGCCACTAGAATTTAATGCTGTAAATAACCACCGAAATGCACTATGTGCCCCCACAGCGCATCCTGCGTGGTCCCACTCCCGGGACCTGGCTCAGGCTTTACCCTGCGACCCGCGCTGGAGCAGCCTGTCCCAGTCTGGATGACGGAGAGGACCACAAAGTCCTCCCAGACTTTCTCCCAGCGTCTCCTGGAAACTGGTGCTAACTCTGTTATTTAACGGACAAGAGATGCTGGTGTTAATCAAGTGACCCCTCGCCTCAAGCAGTGCCTGTATTTTGTGCAGTCTCGGCATGATTTCCCGGTGTGATGGGAGTCCAACCCGTGGTGCAGGAGGGGTGCTGGGGCAGGCGCTGAGCGTGTCCTCTCCAGCCCAGCTCAGCAGAATAATGCAATCAGAGCTGGCGCTGCTCAGCACATCTCCGCGATTGCACCCTTCCAGCCAAATTCCTGGCGAGCAACTGTTCTCCCAGCTCCACGCCCCTTCAAACCTTCAATTAAATCAGTTATAAATAGCGACAACACCCTCCACCCTAACCCCGCCGCTGCCAAAGCTTCGAGTCAGCAGGTCCTCACCAGACCCTTCTCCATCCAACGAGGCTGACAGCCTCCCATGTCCCTACTGACAGCAACGCCATCGCCGCCTTGGCTGAGTCGCACTAGGCTGAGCACGAAACAGTATCATGGCCCTTGCGAGACTCAGCTACCAACTTCCCTCCTCCCAGCATCCCCCTGCCCCACAATCTTGATCCCTGTTCACTTCATAGCCGCTCGATAAATACCCCACGTACCTGGCAGCATGCTGAAGTTGGAGGAACTTCATGAAGTTCCTGCTGTCTAAATCTGCTCTCTTACCAAATTAACTTCATTAACTGCTCTGATGGGAGCGAACCTTGGTAAAGCCAGGTTGCGCGAGAGCCTCTTTGCCCTTGACTCGTACGGCTTTGATCAGCCTTCCCTTCCCTGTATAACTGTGCGCGGCTTCAGAGAGCTTCTGCCTTCTTTTACTGACAGCCAACAAAAAAAGCCCTTAGTGTCCCTACGTAGGAAAACACCCCGTGCCTTGCTGCACTGCAGCAGCCTCATCTCTGGGACCCCCCCGGCGTGGTGACACCCCCCGCCCACACAGCTCAC